GCGCCGCCGCCGCCGCTCCGCGTTCTCTACAGCCGGGCGGCCCCTGCCAGCCGCACTTTTGCAGACCTCTGCGGAGTCGCCTGCAGCCGGAATCTCGGGTTCTTGGCCGCCTGCATCCAGTTAACTGCTACCCGCCCGCTGCCTCCACAAAGCTTTGTCCAGGTCCATATGATCCTGATCATCTCGTCTATACCCACGTTATTTGAGCTGGAGGGGAGAAGGGAGGGATGAAGATGAAGTGATGGTGACTTTCTTTCATGACTGATTGCAGATCGGATGTCATGTATTTCTTATCTTGCATGTTTGGGGCTCTTTACCTTAATGAGTTCCCAATTCTCTTCCCTCTCTTCTGCTGGGGACAAAGGAACCAAGAGACGCTGTTTTGTTGTGTGTCTCTTTCAAGGGTTTTATTTTGAGACGGTGAAGAGAAATAATGCAAAGTGATTTGGGGTGCAGGGTTTCCTGGTATTTTATAGATAAAGCTGGAAGTTACTGTTCTCTTTGTGGTGTTTATTACTGTAGAATTAGACTTTTGACAGGTGTTCCCATTGCTAACTTTAACAGGTTTGAAACGTTTAAAGTAAGTTTAAGTGGATACAGTTTTGGGTAGAACACTTGGCAGTTCTTAAATTTTATTGCAAATATTTGAGCACCTCCTTTTAAAAAAATACAGTGTAAGTGGAAAAGCATTTTTAATACTTTTTAGAGGGAATAGTTGATTTAGTTTGAAATAAAATGCTAATTTTGCGCTACGTTAAGGGAAGTGTGAAATGGATACTTTAGATTGTGGTCCGAGACTCGTTTATTTAACTGCATGTTAGGCCCAGTATCCACTTGTAGGAGACAGTTTTCCATGCGTCTCCGTTTCTTCACTCTTGCCAGCACCCTTGCCAGGAAGATACTGACTGCCCTTTGTTTCTGTTTTTCACGGATATTATCTAAAGAGCAGCCTTGGATAGTGTCTTCCACCAGAGCAAGAGGCAGGGATACGTATTATCCAGCATAATAAGAATAATGTCTCCCTCTGGAGCGAAAGGGTAGGCATGCTTACTGCCCATCTTAAAAGATTAGGGTTCCCTAAGCTTAGGGTTCCTCTCCTGTAGAGAAGGAACTGCCTGTGTAGATGTCAGCTGGCTCTCTTCACGTTGACCAGTGGGAACCTGGAGTTCCGAGAACTAGTGCAAAAATCTTGATGCTTTGGCTTATGCTGTTTCTGTGAGTAAAAAACAGACTGCCCTGTGTCTCTGACCCTTGAGTGTCTTCTATCACCATCCGTGAAACTGGTAAGGTTGTTAGCTTGCAAGTTGAACAAACTCTCAGATCCTTCACACTAGTTTGCTCTGAAGAGGCCCACTACTGGAAAGTTCGAACAGGTGAAAGCTTAAACCTTAGTTCTTGTTTCTTTGTTTATTTTGAGACGGAGTGTCGCTCTTGTTGCCCAGGCTCAAGTGCAATGGTGCGATCTTGGCTCACCGCAACCTCTGCCTCCCGGGTTCAAGCGATTGTCCTGCCTCAGCCTCCCGAGTAGCTGGGATTACAGGCATGCGCCACCACGCCCGGCTAATTTCGTATTTTTTTTTTTTTTTGGTAGAGATGGAGTTACTCCATGTTGGTCAGGCTGGTCTCGAACTCCCGACTTGAGGTGATCCGCCCACCTTGGCTTCCCAAAGTGCTGGGATTACAAGTGTGAGCCACCGTACCCCGCCTGTTCTTATTTCTTAGACGCATTTTAAGGTTGGTTTTTCCTTCCTCCCTGCCTACCTTCCTACCTTCCTACCTCGCTTTGTCCTTCAGGCTGAAATGCAGTAGCACGATCTCAGCTCACTGCAACCTCCGCCTCCCGGGTTCAAGCAATTCTTGTGCCTCAGCGGGTCGCCACACCCGGCTAATTTGTGTGTGTGGTTTTTTTTTAGTAGCGATGGAGTTTTGCCATTTTGGCCAGGCTGGTCTTGTACTCCTGACCTCAGGTGATCCACCTGCCTTGGCCTCGCTAAATGCTGGGATTACAAGCATGAGCCACCCCGCCCGGCCTCTTCCATTTATATTTTAAATGGTTAAACAGGCTAGTAGCCAATTAAGATCTGAATTGTGCATTATTATAGAATTAAGATATATTGTTTGCCTGGCCATGACATATGGACTTGAATTAATGAGAACATGGATCATAAAGTTATCATCCTCAATTCTGAGACAAGTTTGGGATTCCATGCTTCTCAAAATGTTGTACGTAATTACAATCTGAATATTTTTTATCTTTATGCTGTATTGTAAGCAAGAGTTCAAAGAAAGCATTTAAATTGGGAGATGTTTTTGTTTTTATACTAAGAAAAAGGTTTTAACAAATTATACTTTAAAATAACCTCTAAAAGGATTAAAATTATCTTTAATAAATTAAAAATGCTGTCCTGAGTCTTAGTGACTTGGGTATTTTCTCCCTTTATCTCTTCTTGCATACTTATTTTAATACTAGCTGAAGCAAAAGTTTAGACATTTCTTAACTAAATAATGGGTTCATTTGATCAAACCATTTCTTCATTTTCTTAATGAATTTGTGAGTATGGGCATCACAAGTCAAGTAATATCTATTACAGAAGGGTTAATTAGGTAGTTGGGATGGAGAACTGTGTGAGCCTTGGGGTAAAATGATAGGAAATGATGGGGAGTACAAGCAGGGGGGCAGACTCCTAGCCATAGCACTTTGTCATGTGAGTGCAGGGCAAGTATTGAAGGATCTTTTATTTATTTAATGCAAATTCTGAATCTGGATTTTTAACAAAATTTTTCTAGTATTAGGTATTGTCAAGTAATTAAAAATGTGAATATTTATACACATAAATATATATACACACAGACAATTAATTTATGGGCCCATGCTATAGGCCAAACAATAGGTGTGTTGAGGCCAAATATGTTACAGTTCATACACTTTTTAGATTTCAGAAACTGGAGATTTTCAAACTTTAACACCGCTAGAATCACCTAAAAAAAACTTAGATCTTTAGGCTCCTCCCTCCTTTAAGTCCGATTCTACCTAGTCTGGCATACTTACAGAATTCTAGAGTATAATACAGTTATACTCTAGAATTGTTTCTTTAACACAAGCAGTATTCTAAAACTGTTTCAGATCTAGTTTCCCTTTCTATAAAATACTTTTTCATGCTCTCTTTGTCATCCTAAATGAATTTCATGGGGAAAAAAATCCTTCCTAACACATTTTTCTTACAAAAGTAAACATAATGTTTGAACTGTTTTAAAGGAGAAATAAAATGAAGCAAATAACAACAGAAAAGTATAATTTATAAATGCTTAGATACAATTACACTGGCCACCAAGCTCCCATTGAGAACATTTGTTTTAAAACTTTGGTTTAACTGTCTTTTTTTCTCAGGCTACATGTTGGAAGGAATGAGGATGAATGACCACAAGCTAAAATTGGATGACTCCTTCAGTCTTAACTGTCATTTTGTTAGTATGCAGTTATATCTAGGAAAGAGGCAAAACTTGAGAAAATGGATTTTCTTTTATGTACATTAAGAAAACAAACTGATCTTAGAGAAATGTTATGACATTGTGTACTATTTAGTGTTAACATACTGTTCGGCTAACGAGTAGCGAACTGAGAGTTTGAGAGCAGTTTTCCCCTCCATATCTAAAAGACAATATTGAAGAGCTATTTTTAACAAATACTGAGAACATAACTTTTGAAAGGTATCACATTATTTGTCTAGAGAGGGTAAAATATAAGACTAAATCCCTTTTCCAAGATTTCTTTACTAACTGGCAGTATACAAGATATGTAACTATTCTGGGACTGATTTCTTGGCAAAAAGTATAAATCATCTCATGAGTGCAAGCTTTAATTCCAAAGGATTAATATTTAAGAATGATCTGTGTTACCTGTCAGTCCTATACATGGTTTATTCACCTGTTGGTAGAAATAAGTATTTTTTAAATTTGGGGGCTATTATGAATAAAACTTAAAGGTATTTGTCATTTCCCTGAGTAAATAACTTAGAATTGGAGTTTCTTTTTATGATAAATGTATGTTTACACTGCTTGTATTACTTTATAGTCCCTCCAGCAGTTCCCTCCAGAGTTTGTTCACTCTCCCCAATTTGGGTATTGTCAGTCTTAAAAAAAAAATTTTTTTTTTTTTTTTTTTTTAGACGGAGTCTTATACTCTGTCATCCAGGCTGGAGTGCAGTGGTGCAATCTCGGCTCACTGTAACCTCCGCCTCCCAGGTTCAGGCAATTCTCCTGCCTTAGCCTCCCAAGTAGCTGGGATTACAGGCACCTGCCACTACACCTGGCTAATTTTTTTTGTATTTTTAGTAGAGACAGGGTTTTACCGTGTTGGCCAGGCCGGTCTTGAACTCTTGACCTCAGGTGATCCACCCGCCTTGGCCTCCCAAAGTGCTGGGATTACAGGTGTGAGCCACTGTGCCCAGCCTGTTATTCTTTTAAATTTTAACCATTGTAGTAGGTCAGAAAAGCTAGCTCATGGTTTTGGTTTTCATTTTTCTGATGAATAATGATGAGCATCTTTTCTTGTGCTTAGTAGTCATTCTTTTTTGGTGAGATTTTGGCTTGTCTTTTGCAAATTTCAAAAAATTAGGTTGTTTGCCTTTTTTTTGTTTTTTTTTTTTTGAGACAGCATCTTGCTGTGTTGCCCAGACTGGAGTGCAGTGGCGCCATCTCAGCCCACTGCAACCTCCACCACGTTGCTCAGGCTGGTCTCTCAACTCCTGAGCTCAAGTGATCCATTCTTCTCGTCTCCCAAAGTGCCGGGATTATAGGCGTGAGCCACTACGCCTGGCTGGGAGTTTGCCTTTTTATCGAAAAGTAAAGTTCTTTATATATATTCTGTATCCTGGTCCTTTGTCAGATACATGTATTGCAGCTATTGACTCTGGCTTGCATGTTCATTTTCTTGGTGTCTTTTGAAGAGCTAAAGGTTTAAATTTTGATTAAGTCTGCTTTATCAATTTATTTTATGGTTGGTGACTTTTGTGTCCTATCTAACAATTTTTTGCCTACCCCAAGTTTACTAAGATTTTCTCCATTTTTTTAACCCAGCATTTTTATAGTTTTAGCTTTAAAATACAAACCTGTAATCCATTTTGTGAGTTATTTTTTGTGTGAGGTTGAGGTTCATTTTTTTT